GTATTTTTAAAGAGATATGTACCTGACATCGTGTTCCTGCAAGAACACAATTATAAATCATTGGGAGAGTTAATGATTGATAGATACGATGTGTACATGGGTTGTTCTGCACGATTGAAAGGTGGTGTGGCATTGTTAATTAAAGAAGCTAGCCCGTTTTCTCTGCAAAGATGTGAGGTGGGGGAGGAGGGGCAGGTGGTTCGGGTGGATGGCGCATGGGGTGGGGTTCAAGTGGGTTTCATGGGAGTGTACGGGCCTGCGGAAGGAGACATGGGCATCACAAATAGGTTTTTTAGGGATGTCCTTGTTTACCATTTAAGATCGCTGCCAGTCGTAACGATTCTAGGAGGTGATTGGAACTGTATTGTTCGCCGTAAGGATGTAGAACCTAGAGGAAGGGGCTTTTTCTTGGGGTATTTAGGGGATCTGTTGCAAGGTGTGAATGTAGTGGACGTGGGAGGGGAGGAGATGGGTGGGGTCATGCATACGTTCATTAGGCGCGATTATGCGGCGAGGCTGGATCGAATCTACGTTTCTCGGGGGGTGAGGGTAAGCAGCGTTTGTGCATTGAATGTGAGCTCTCTGATCATAGAGGGGTTCTGGTAGATTTGGATTGGGAGGGATTGCCAAAGCGTTTCAGTTGAATGTTGGGTTATTGCGCAAAGGGGATGGGAGGGAATCTTTTGAGAGTGCTTGGGGGAGATGGTGGGCAGATGGTTGGGGGGGGGTAGACATCCTTGAGTGGTGGGACACGGTCGGTAAGGGGAAGGTGAGGGATTTTTATCAGAAGCGGGGAAAGGAAGAGCGGAGATATCAATATGGTGTTTTACATTACCTTGAAGGTCAACTGCAGGAATGCTATATGGGAGGGGGGGGGTGAGTATCCGGTGGTTGAGATTGAGGGTTTAAAACAACTGATTAGGGACATTCAAAATTGTGAATTTGATGCGGCACGAATCGCGGGAGGAATCGATGAGGTTTTATGGGGTGACTGTCCTTCGGCATATGTCTTGAGAGAGCAGGGAAAACGTCGCAGGGCGACGGAAATAATGAGCTTGAATGTCCAGGAGCAAATGGAGGGGTATCGTCAGGGGCAGGTGCTCATGTCAACAGAGGGTATGGGTTGCTACATGGATGCATGGTATGAGATGCATGGCAGAAGAGTGGGGGTTAATGATGAGGTGCTAGGGGAAATGGGTGAATGGGTATGTTGTAATCTAGAGCATAAGGATCGGTTGAATCTGAGTGGACCTATAAGCGAGGAGGAGTTTAGAATGGCAGTGGAGGGAATGAGTGTGGGAAAATCGCCGGAGATTGATGGTATTCCTTGTGATTTTTATAAGGAAAACTGGGAATGTTTGCGTGAATTTTTAGTGGTTTTATTTAATGCTATGAAAACCAAAGGTAGATTGGGGGAACAGCAACGTACGGGTGTGGTGGTCATGGTTCCGAAAAAGAAGTCTTGTGATTACGTACATGATTATCGATCGATATCTTTAATGTGGTGATTACAAGATCTTTGCTAAAATGTTAGAGAATAGGATGAAATGAGATCTTGACAAAGTTTTGGATGAGGGTCAGTATGGTGTGCCTGGGCGATCAATGTGTGTGGGGCAAGGGATCATACATAGGTTTATAGACGAAAGTGGGGGGGCAAATAAAGGTGGGGTATTAGCATTGGATTGGCATGCGACATATGACTGTGTGGAGCGTGAGGCACTGTTGAAGTTAATGCAGTGGCAAGGGTTTGGGAGGGAAATCGTCAGTTGGGCAAAGGTGTTGTATGAACAGGCCATGGTACGGGTGCAGGTAAATGGTAGGCTAGGAAAACTAGTTAGGATGGAAAGGGGCTTGAGGCAAGGGTGCCCTGTGTCACAGCTTCTCTTTGTGTTGATTCAGGATCTGTTCTATAGGGCTGTGCGAGGGAGTGTAAGGGAGGGAGCGAAGAGAGATGAAGTGGCTGTGGAACCAGGGATCATGGGTTATGTGGATGATACCACAGTTCTATTTAGAAGGTCAAAGGATTTACGAAAGGTGGGTGAATTGATGGAGCGTTTCGGAAGGGCAACAGGGATGACATTAATAGGGAAAAGTCTATGCTTATGAGGGAGGGGGATGGCGTGGGTGGGGCTCTAGGACAGGAAGAAGGCTGGCCCCTGGTGTGTCAAATTAAGGTGTGTGGGGTTGTTCATCTGGGAAATCTTCAGGAGGCGAGGGAGGTGAATTCGAGAGAAGCTGTGGATAGGGTTCTGGGTAGATTGGCGGGATTGCGTATAGGAGGTCTGATGTTACATCAGCGTGCTATTGTGGTGAATGTGCTTTTGTATGGTAAGCTGTGGCATGTGGTAGGTATACATGTATATCCCTTGAATACGTGCGATGAGAAGCGTCTGTTGATGCGTGTATATCGATATATTTGGGGTTCGGGATGTGACTGGTTATCGAGAGATGTTGTGTGTCTTCCGGCATGCCGGGGAGGACTGGGGTTAATGGCGTTGCATCAGATGTTGGGCATGTATGTTAAACACAGTTATTTGAGGGAGGGTAGGGTTGCAGGCACAGGTTTGGCATGGGTTTGAAGGGATTTGGAGTGTTGGATGAGGGGTAGAGATGTCCAGATGTGTGAGGGAATGTTGAGGTTATTAATTTATGCACAGGACCCACGCAGGGTCAAGATAGGACAACTGGCTCAGGTGGGTGGTAAGGAGGTGGTTGCTAAGGTGGAAGGTATATATCCGATGTATGCGTGAAGTGTTATATGGGGCCGTTTAAAAGGGTTACGATTGAAGGCAGTGGTAAGGGAGGTAATGTTTAAATTTCTCCACAATATATTGCCATCTGGAGAAGTGTTGGCAAATAGGTGTGTGCAGGAGGGTGGGGAGTGTTGTGTGTGGGAACATTGACACTGTCTTTCATGCGATATTTTTTTGTGCGAGGTTGGAACCAGTGAGGGAGTGGTTTAGTAGGGTTTTACTTACGGTGGGTGGAGGTGGAATTAGTGTTTTAAGGGCGTTAAGCTTAGATGTGCGGGGGGGGTGCCGGTGCAGAACGCAATGGGTTATCTAGTCACTGATTTTGTGTATACGTCATGGGTTTACAGACATGTGTCAGTAAGGGAGAGAATCAGGGCACTGGCAGCGATATTTTATGGGACGCAACGGAGGAATAAGGACATCACTGGGAACAGGTGGCATTTAACATTTTCGGAGGGATATCGTAGCTTTCGCGTCAGGGACATATGGGCGTTGCAAGCTTAAGGGGTAAAATGAAGCTGGCTTCTTGAGGTATGTGTGTGTGTGAGTGATGCTTTTGATAAGTAAAGGTGTGGTGTACAGTGTGATAGTTCAGTAAGCTTGGTCAGTTTCAGAAGACTGCTTAGTTAAGGTTAATGAGATATAATGCTGTAATGATATAATAATTAGTTAAGCATTTGAGACTGTTCAGAGATTACTTCCAACAAAATTCACTGAAATGTATCAATTCAGCCATGTTTTAGTAAGAGTCCAGTTATTTTGTAATAATGAATATTTCAATATGAGTATGTTGTGACTTTTCTCCTTTACTGCATAAAGTTTTTGACAAGATACATTACAAATTCATTATTTTAAAAATAATTGGATTTCTCCTAATATAAATAGACTTAACCATTCTGTGGAATCTGCTGTGAGTAACTCGTCTGTGATCAAAAGGTTCCAAGATTTTACATATGCTGTATAAATTTTGCAGTTGATGATTTATATGATCATGTAATTTGTATAATGCTTATTTTTGTTATGGAGTCATGTTTTAGGATAATTACCAGAGTTTGTTTTTAAGTAAAATCTCATAAACAGTTGCATGTCTATCTAAAAGTTACATAAATTAATGTTTGATCACTGCTGTGATCATTAAGTGTGTGAATGATGTGGATGTATTTATAGATGGGTTTTAATGGGGGGGCTCCCCCCCAACAGTTTTGTGTGTATGTGTCAGATATTTTATCATTTGGTATAATGTGTGTCAGTGAGTGGTATGTATGTATTTTGCGTGTTAGTTACACATTCCTGTTTTGTATTGGGTTTTCATAAATTTTCTTCTGCACTTGTGATATGATTCTTAGTAATCTTGTTCAGATCCTGTATTGTGGTGTTATTTAATATTTTATAAAACCTTGTAATTTATAATGTTTTAAATAAAATATAAAAAAAAAAACGTTAATCTATTAAATGTATGAAGGATTAATAATATATAAATAACAAAGTGGAAAATAAATGCATATTGTAGGTTTGGTGCTTCATTGTTTATAATAATAACAATGCATATTGTAATGTAGTCTTGTGTAATCTTGCTTAACATAGCTACATGGGATATAATGCATAGGGGATGAGGGACAGTTTGTGTCAGCACAAAGTTAAACGTCTGTGTGTTTTTGACAATGAAATTTATAATTCTGTGTAAGAACTGATACTGTGTTCTTTTATCTATTTAATGTATTGTATTGTTTTAAATAAAATAAAATAAAAAAAAAGTGATATATACATATAGTATTTATATCTTAACTAAAGCTAAGCATTAGTAAAAAGTAAGAGTCTTATTCTTTTTAGTTATTTACATAAGCAAATTATATATACTATACAGTACATTGAACTGCAGTACAGTACGTATATGCATGTATGTATATGTAATATGTATTTCCTCATGATTAATTACAAATTGCATTCACAATAGTTTCATAGATATATAAAAGATGGTTAATGGTTGCCTATCCTAGAAATGTCCTGCAAAATTCTTTGGAATTTAAATCCATCAGAATCTCCTGACTTTTATTGGTCGAGTCATAGACTTTTGGGTCTTCTTATATGATACTATATAAAGTTCATCTGGAGTCAAAACTTGAGAAAAATAGAGCACTGAAATTGGCGTACTACAGGGTGTGATAATGTGTATAACCTGATAATTATACAGTTGTACTACATTTTTTTTCTTCAGGCAATTCCATAATTAGTTTTGGCATTTTCCAGGTGTCTGTGATCAGTAATGTTGAGACTGGTCATGATGACATGATCCATGATGCTCAGATGGACTACTTTGGTACAAGGTTGGCCACATGTTCCTCAGATCGGTCTGTCAGAATCTTTGAGGTGAAGGGCACTTCACAAACTTTAATTGCTGATCTCCGAGAACATGAAGGGCCTGTAAGTAGTTTAGGTAGCTTTTTTGTCTGATATTAAAAAAAAAAAAAATTATTGGTTTGTAATTTTTTTTTTTTTTAGAAATTTTAAGAGAGTCATTACAGTTAAATTCAAAATCTGATATCATATATAATTAATTCCAGTTGGTTGTTTAAAAATTATAGAAAATATAAATGACATGGTAGACGACAATTGATATTTGACTCCTTGTCACACTACCTTTAAATTCATATTCATATTCATAGTGGTGATACCGCTAAAATATGAAAGTTTACCGAATTGCTAAAACTATGTTATCGTATTTTTTCAACACACTGGCCAGCTCCCACCAAGGTAGGGTGATTGGAAAAAAAAAAATCTTTCGCAGTCCATTACTGTCTTGCCAGAGGCAAGCCAGTACTACAATTCAGATGCCCCTCCAAACTGCAAATATCCCCACCCCTCCTTCAGAGTGTAGTCACTGTACTTCCTATCTCCAGGATTCTAGGCTGGCTAATCAGTTTACCCTGAATCACTTCATAAATGCTACCATTCTCATACAACAACAACCCATCAAGTCATTAAAAGCACTTGCCTCTACTCTCTCCTATCTAACATACATACATACATACATATATACATACATACATACATACATACATATATATATATATATATATATATATATATGTCGTGCCGAATAGGCAGAACTTGCGATCTTGGCTTAAATAGCAACGCTCATCTTGCCATATAGGACAAGCGAAAATTTGTGTATGCAATAATTTCGCCAAAATCATTCTGAACCTAAAGGAAAAAATATATTTCACTGTGTTTGTTTAGTATTAAATTATTATAAACAAATCTAATATATATTTAGTTGGGTTAGGCTCTAAAATAAATGTTCTTGTTATAATAATGGTTAGGTAAGTTTTCTAGATTCTTCTGGCAGCAAATTAAAATTTTTACATAACTTTAATGAGAAAAAAATATATCTTTTAAACGTATAAGAGAAAATTTTAGATAAAGGACTTAATTTTAAATGAGTTCTTGCTAATTGGTCAGTTTTACATATTCGGCACGACATATATATAATATATATATATATTTTATATATATATTATATATATATATATATATATATATATCTATTATAATATATATTATTTAATGGGAGCCCCTTTGATTGACTTTGTTATAGGAAGGGGGTTTTTTTTAGTGGTTTATAGTTATAGAGGTAATACATATTTAAGAAAAAGAGATAATAAGTATACCCGATATGAATGTACGGGCGAAATGACAGTAGTTTGTTGGATTAAAAAACTTTGTTGGATTATGTATTGGTAGATAAAAGACTGTTGAGTAGACTTCAGGTGTACATGTTTATAGAGGGCCACAGATATATCAGATCATTTCTAGTTGTAGCTACACTGAGAGTACAAGGATAGATGGGATACAAGGTGAATAGGAAGCATCAGAGAAGAGAGAGGTGATGAAGGTTTATAAAAACTAAAAAGAGGAGGCCAGTTAGAGGTAAGATAATAATCAGCTATTGGAGGATAGATGGGCTAACTGAGTGCATAGGCAATGGGGTCGAAGAGGATGGGGTTAGGTTTTAAATTGTAGTGGTTAGATGTTCAGCAGAAGTTTGTGGTTTCAGGAAAGTGGGTGTCAGGAGGGAAGAGGAAGCGATTGGTGGAATGTTGATGTAAAAGAGAGTAGTAGGTGGAAGAAAAGTTGCATATGAGAAGTTTTTACAAGTTGAAGTGATGCAAGGAGGGGAAGAGTATATGGAGAAAAAGAGAGAAGTTAAGAGTGTGGTGAAGCAATGTAAAAAGAGAGCAAATGAGAGAGTGGGTGAGATGTTATCAATAATTTTGTTTAATGAAAATAGAAAAAGTTTTTGGAGTGAGATTAACAAGTATGAAGCTAGAGGAACAAATGGATTCGTCTGTTAAAAATAGGAGAGGAGAGTTATTAAATGGAGAGGTAGAGGTATTGGGAAGATGGAAGGAATATTTTTGGAGGAATTGTTAAAATGTTGATGAAGTAGGGAAGCTGTGATTTGTGTATAGGGCCAAGGAGGATAACATCTGTAGGGAGTGAGGAAGAGCCAGTTGTGAGTGTGGGGAGTTGTGAGGCAGTAGTAAAATGAAAGGGGCGGTAAGGAAGCCGGGGATTTGATGGGATAAAGATAGAATTGTTAAAAGCAGGTGGGGGATATAGTTTTGGATGTGGTTGTTGCAATCTATTTAATATAAATGTATGGTAGAGTGTAGTAAGATACCTAGGGATTGGCAGAGAGCATGCATGTACCTTTTGTATAAAGGCAAAGGGGAATAAAAGAGGAGTGCAAAAATTATAGGGGGATAAGTCTGTTGAGAGTACCTGTAAAGTGTATGGTAGGTTATAATTGAAAGATTAAGAGAAGACGTGAGAATAGGAGAAGAGTATAGGATAGAGATGAACAAGGAGCTTTAGAAAGGTTAGGGGGTGTGTGGACCAGGTGTTTACAGTGAATGAAACATATAAGTGAACAGTATTCTAGATAAGGTCTAAAGGGTCTCTTGTGGCATTTATGGATTTGGAAAAAGGCGCTATTATGACAGCGGTGGATGGGGTGGCATTGTGGCAGATGTTGCAGTTATGGTTGTAGGAGGTAGGTTTACTGAAAGCAGTGAAGAGTTTTTACGAGGGATTGTGAGGCGTCAGTTAGGAGTATGTAGAGAAAGAGGGAAATTCTTTTCCCAGTAAACGTAGGCCTTGACAAGGATGTGGGATGTCACCGTGGTTGTTTAATATATTTTTAGATGGGGTTGTAAGAGAAGTAAATGCGAGGGTCTTGGCAAGAGGCCGTGGAGTTAAATGCTAAAGAATCACCACACAAAGGTGGGGTGTTGTAACAGTGCTCTTTGCTGACAGATGACACTGTTGCTCTTTTGGCGAGATTCTGAAGAGAAGTTGCAGAGCTTGGTTGGATGATTTTGGTAGGGTGTGCAAACAGAAGAAATTAAAGGTGAATACAGGAAAGGTAAGTTTATGAGGATAACAAATAGATTAGGTGATGAAAGATTGATTATCAGATTGGAGGGAGAGGAGAGAGTATGGAGGAGGTGGAACGTAATTCAGATATTTGGGAAGTGGACGTTCGTCAGCGGATGGGTCTATGAAGATGAGGTGAATCATAGAAGTGATGAGGGAAAAATGAGTGGAGTGGTCGGCACTTAGAGTCTGTGGAGACAAAGAAAATCTTTTTGTCCTTGGAGGCATAAAGAGGGGAATGTATGTGAGTATAGTATTTTTACAACGCTCTTATTTGGGTGTGAAGCAGTGGGTGATGATTGTTGCCAGCGTGGAGAAGGCTGGAGGCAGTGGAGATGTCATGTCTGGAGGCAAGTGTGGTTGCTGATATAATGCAGAGAATTCGTAGTTTGGAGTTAGGAGGTAGGTGCGGGATTACCACAAAACTGCTTGTCCAGTGGCGCTGAGGAAGGGTTGTTGAGGTGGTTCGGGACTTGTAGAGAGAATGGAGCGAAACAGAAGACTTCAAGAGTGTATCAGTATGTAGTGGACGGAAGGCGGGGTAGGGGTAGGCCTAGGAAGGGGGTTGGAGGGAGGGGGGTAATGGAGGTGGATTTGTTGCGAGGGCTTGGACTTCCAGCAGGCATGCGTGAGCGTTTTGATAGGAGTGAATGGAGACAATTGGTTTTTAATATGACGTGCTGATGGAGTAGTGTGCAAAGTAACATTTATGAAGGGATTCAGGGAAAACCGGCAGTGCCGGTCTTGAGCGGACTTGAGTCCTGGAGATGGGAAGTACAGTGCACTGCCCACTCTGAAGGAGGGGTGTTAATGTTGCAGTTTAAAAACTGTAGTGTAAAGCACCCTTATTGGAAGACAGTGATGGAGTGAATGATGGTTGAAAAGTTTTTCTTTTTGGGCCACCCTGACCTTGGTGGGAATCGGCAGGTGTGATAATAATAAATAATTATATTTATATATTAATTATGGGGAATCATATTTCAAAATGGGAATTGACACTGTTACTTGTTGCTGATGATACTGTGCTTTGGGAGTTTCTAAAGAAAAAATTTGCAAAGGTTAGTGGATGAGTTTGGGATGTGTGTAAGTAGAAAGTTGAAAGTGAAACATAGAAAAGAGTAAGGTGATGAGGGTGTCAAATGATTTAGATAAAGAAAAATTGCTATCTAATTGGGGAAGGAGGGAGTATGGAAGAAGTGATTGTTTTCAGATACTTGGGAGTTGACGTGTCGGCGGATGGATGGGTATGTGGATGAGGTTAATCATTAGAATTGATGAGGGAAATAGGTGTGTGGTGCGTTAGGTATATGTGGAGTCAAAAAACGTATCTATGGAGGAAAGAGGGAATGTATGAAAGTTTAGTAGTTAAACAACCACTTTTATATGTGGTGTGAAGCGCTTGGGTTGGTAAATTTGCAGCAGCGAGGTAGACGGTTGAGGCAGTGGAGAGATGTCCTGTTTAAGGGCAATGGTGTGTGGTGTAAATATTATGCAGTAATTTCGGTGAGATGTGGGAAATTAGGAGGTGTGAGTTAATAAAAGTATTAGTAGGGGGGGCAGAAGGGCAGAAGGTGGAGAAGAGGGGTTGTTGAGGTGGTTTGGTCATTTAGAGAGATGGATCAAAGTTAGATTGACAGGAAAGCATATAAATCTATAGGGAAGGAAGGCGGTGTGTAGGGGTCGCTCCCTCGAAAGGGTTGGGAGAGGGGGTAAAGGTGGTTTTGTGGGTATGTGGGGTAAGGGGCTTGGACTTCAGCAAGCGTTGCGTGAGCGTGTTAGATAGGATGTGAATGGAGGACGAATGGTACTTGGGACCTGACGATCTGTTGGAGTGTGAGCAGGGTAAATATTTAGTGAAGGGATTCATGGCGAACACCGGTTATTTTCATATAGTCGGACTTGAGTCCTGGAAATGGAGAAGTACATTGCCTGCCTTTAAAGGAGGGTTTTGGGATATTGGCAGTTTGGAGGGTATGTGTGTGTCT